CTTTTTCTCTGGAATAGCTAGAGGCGCTAATTAGCTCTGCGATCCCAGAAAACTGCGAAAATCGCGCTCGCCCGCGAACAACTCGGTAACTCGTTTTGCCCAGTTCAACTCGATTCACACACGCGAAAAGTGTCGCAGGACGGACGTCGCGACGTATGCGCTTTTGTACGTCCGTATTCTCATTTGCGGTCGCGTGTGTGCGTTCGATTTAAATACTTGGCGGACCAATTAGAGGGGTTAATTCCTAAGTGATTTATGGCTGCGACCGAGGGAGAGGGAACTGACCTTAAACGTCGTCTCTAGGATCGTTACGCAATTGCCGACGGGCTTTATTTGTACAATCGTTAATCGACTAACACACGCGTGCACTTTACCCTCACCCTTCACGTGCCCTACACGACCTCGGAGGATATGTCAGAATATGCTGACTGCTTGGGTGCTTGTGTTCACTGCGGACAATGCTTTATATCCAAAATTTGATAAAGATAAAATAGAGTTAATTCTCATCGAAATTGTGGCAATTAAATTTAACAGCTTAGATTTATGTATTAAAAAATGGGTGATGAAAAATATAGCGACAATTATTATTTTAGTTGAGTGCGTCACATTATAAATATAATAAAACAAATATTGCTGTAATCGACATAAATAAACAATATCAATCTCTCTGCTATTATATTATTGTCGTCTCATTAATTCGACTAGTAGCGCTAATCAACTCGATCAGCTGGCCGCGGAATAACTTTTTTCTTTTCAAACAACTCTTGATTATGGCCGGCGGCGAAATATATTTCACAAAGTCGCGTCGATGAGTCGCCTCTTTCTTGGCAACTGCGACTTTCTGTCATTACTCCGTCTTGCATAACTTTACGAGGGAGGAGGTACTCAGCGTGTACTTGAAAATTCTCTCAAAGATAGCTTCGTATCGTTTTACAATCGCTCTCGCTGAGAGCGGGATCAACCGAGCGAGTCAAAAGACGACGGGGTTACCTGATCCTCTCGTCCGCGAGATCGAGCAGCTCGAGATGTAACGAAGCGGGGAGGTCGCGGCGGGTTAATATCGACCGGCTCGTTCTCTTCTCAGGCGGATCCAGGTGAATCTCTATCATTAATCTTCATCGCGATCCACGAATTCCGCGTCGGGAATGGCACGATGGTTCTCGCGGATTCAATGATCCCTAATTTTCGTTTTCGCAACAACAAACGGCGCATCTTTCTTTGCAAAATCCACTGCTTTGTATTTCCGATGTATAAGACGTTATTATTGACATAGACGTCTGTAGATTTTTATTCTTATTAATATGGTGTTCAAATTTTAATTTCAGAATGTTTACAGTAGATTATCATGTAAATCTTTTTGTTTTATATTAGCTCTCTTTCTTTCTCTTTTTTTCTTATTACATATACGTACTTTATAATATCAAGTTGACATGCAATTATTATTTGTGCCATAATTTTGTATGATTGAATTTTATATCATTTTAATGAAAATTTATTTTAACGTTTGACTTTGTTTATATATAACTTTTCATATTTTATCGACATATGTTTCTGATATTTTAATTAAAACAATTCTATTTTGAATTTGTTTTATTCCAATCGACAAAGTAACTTTGATCTCAAGCTCTCTTTTATCATATAATACTATATACGAATGCACATAGAAAGTGTATAATAGAGATTCAATATTTTCAAATGTTTAATGATTCCAGGAAAGCGCATTCGCGTTGTAATATACTAATTAAAACTCTCGTATATTAATGAAAGATTAACAGCAGTCAGTTCAAGTTCTTCCTATTCGTGTAAACTTTTCGACACGAACGTCTTTAATTTTGTATCCGATTGAGAGGGTAGAAAAGGTATACGCAGGATTTCCTCCTTCGCTCTCGTTCCATAACTTCACCGCGCGCAAACTTCTGAATTAAAGAGCGCGTGAGCAAAAGACGGTGTATCGATAACAGGTATTGGAAACAACTTCGGCTATCAGAGCGTCGTTTGCCAATTGAAAACTGTCGGCCGACAGAGTTATTGCAGTTTAAGGCAACGGCCATCTCGCCCTCCCCCCTCGCCCGGTGAATCACGATTAATGCGCCATTAAGAGAGATTGGAAATCCTTTCGGCTCCGGAGACTTTCGTCGCTCAATGGCACGGACGACGAAGTTCCCACAGGCGCTCGCGCCGTCCAGGATTTTGCATTCCATTTGCCGGGAAGGTTACCCTGGCTTCGCTTTCGTTCTCCCGAGGGTGCACTTGCTGCTAGCGAACCGGAGGTAAATCGCATTTGCATGAAGGCTTCTCTGGCTCTCCTCAGGTAGATTTCGACGACCTCCCGAGCTCTATATGACACCGCTCGTTGTTACGCCGAGAAAGTTACGACGTCCGTTTCGAAAAGGTACTCCACGACAAATTGCCGGTGCATCCTCGTGTACGCGAAAACACCGAGGATCCGGGCGCTTTGTTACTCCTGCGCGCGCTTGATAAATTCGTGTGAAATTTAATTAACGGGATTCTTTTCGAGTTTGCGAGCTTTGGAATTAACTTTTTTTAATCGAAGAACTTATAAAATGAAATATATGCAAATATAAAATTTTTTATTTGTTTATGAAATATCTTTGTTCATTATGTATAGTTAGTTTTTTTTTCTTCTAAACACGATGAGAAGATTGGGATTTGAATGCGGGCAATAATACTGACGAAATCTACGTTTTCTGAAATTACGAGCGTTTAACTATTGCAACACGACGATTGGTAAAATTGTAAAACTGAACGGATCAAGACAGCATTCGCAACACATTGCGATGCATTCCACTGTGTTTACCGTGAGATAGCCATTGTGCATTGCATTTTTACGAGAGGACTTATCGCGGATCGCGGCCGGGGCAAAAGAAGACAACTGGCTGTTTATGAGGAAGCGGAACACGCGCGCGTCCGGCCGGCGTTACGGCATTGAACTTGGTCCCGCGTCTGAAACTTTTTAATTTATTCATGCAACGCTTTCGGGGTCTGTTAACCCTTTGCGGTGATTACCACGCGCGAATACCTTCGCGCTGCTTGTTTTCCTGTTGGTATATCATTCAGCGTGCTGTATCAAGCAGAGTGTTCTTAAACGAGGACTTCGCAATGTTCAGAATTGGAGGAGAGGAAAAATCGCAATTTAGCCCTGGTAATATTTCAGGTGATTTTAACATCGGTCAATGAAATATTCGACCTCCCAAATTGCATTTCATTGGAGAATATGTTATACTGTTACACGCTTGATGAACCTTTATGCACAGTTATTATCTGCTCCTATAATTTAATTCCGAGAGCTAATAATGGAATATCACCATCAATCTTTTTGTTTTGTACGGATTAACTCTCTCTCTCTTTTTTTTTTCTCATACATATTTTATAGTACTAAATCAGCACGCAATTATATTGTGTTATTGTAACAATATACATTACTATTAATTAATTTTAAAGAATTATATTGTTTTACAATTATTATTGCAAGTTGCATATATATCATCGTTTTTTTTTTTTTATTTATACTCTTTAAAGATTAAGGGATTATTTGTTTTAATCGAAACATTGTTAATTTCTTCAATTTAGTATTTAACGTCACTTACACTCATATAGTTCTATTTTTTAATTTTTCTCTATCGCACTCCCGAATGATATACTCTTAGTGATGTACTGACATTCGGAAGGGATCGTCCCGCAGTAACATATCGTTGCGGCCGCTATTATTCGTGGGAAATTCAGGGCGCATAATCGCATTCTGCCTCCCTCATTTAACGAGCGGAAACATTATTAACGAGCGTATACTCGACTTTTTTTTTTTTTTTACCTTCTGTGCACCATCGCCACCATCGCCACTATCACCACCGCCACTATGCCGACGGCGGCTCTTCGTCGCTTCTTTTTTCCTCCCCCTTTTTCTGAAAGCTATTGTCTACACGGTCGTCGCGGTTTCTCAGCGACGTGGCGTGGGAAGGTTCGCAGGGCCTTAAAGTTCGCGCCGTTCAAGGTGAGGTATATGCACAGGCAAGCCGAGTCGCGCCACTCTAACCCAATTTATATACCGAAGAGCGTCATTATGAGTCCCGTAAAGCTGTATTTACATCAAAATCCAATGAACGTTTCCTCTTGCGAATTGATGAGTTCATAAAATTCCATTACGGTTGTCACCTGATGACTTTACCGCTACCTGATTATTCCACGGAGAATTCGTGAGCTGCAGAATAATCTTGCTCGAGAATTTCTTATCTGAAAGCCAGTTAGCTTGGCCTAGTTGTATAACAATTAAAATTAACTTATACGCAGTTGATATCGTTGATCCTAGAAGTATTATACTATCATTCGCGCAAAGTTACGCATTAACTTACATATAGATTATCGTTTCATGTAACTTTTGTGGAAAAAAAAAAGGATACCATAATCGGGATTATTTTTATCACGGGCGTATCTTGTAATAATAAATTAACGCATTTACTTTATAAATTATTTCCCATTTACTTGGTTGACTCTAGAAATAATTCGTCATAATTGCGTTACCAGGTTATCGTGCTCTGTTACGTCAAAACAAAGACCGCATTATAATTGCAAATTCATAAATCTAGATTTAAGAACTTATGATAGCGTAGGAACATATTCGTTAACGTTCGCACGGTGTACGTGAGCATAAGGAGGGCGCGCAACATGTCGAGCCCTAATTAAATAATTACCGAACGCAATTAATTCGCGGCCGTAACTAATTAGCATCCTTCCGTGGCGCGGTGCGAATAATAGTGCGCGCTTCAGTGGGGCAATGGGCCTCCTCCATTTCGCCCTGTCCCCCTCCCCCTTTTTTCTAATTACATTATTAATACATAGCTCGCGCAACAATCGGCATTTTGACGCACGTACTAATCGGTCGGCATTGTTTGCTCTCTCTGTTACAGCCGGAAGAACGCGATCATTCTCAGGACCCAGCTGTCCGTGAGGGTTCACACCATCATAGGTGAGTACCACCATCGTGGATTCTTGATTCAAATCTCGCGACAGGCTCCCACGATCCACTTGGATGGATCATCCGTGCCGACCGCGCGCGCTGATTCCTCGACCCTTAACTGGCAGCGTCGAGTCTCGTTCTAGTTACTCGGTCACTTGTTTCGGTTCACCGACGACGACGACCTTCTGCTAACTGTAACGCTGATGCTGTGAAGCATCGAGTTTTGGATGATTGCGGATGAGCCTGAATAAAGAGTTTTATGTATGAGCTTTAATCAACGACATTTAATTTCTAATCTTGATTAAAGCGTGAGCATGCTAATAGTTATATAAAGATTTTTAGAAATTAATTAATTTTTTGATTGCACAAGTAAATAATTAAAATCTTATTATTTAATCTGATACCAATTTGTTTGCGAAAAATTCGGTTGCAGTCAGATCTAGTTGTCGAGATTTTAAATTTATAAATTAATTATAAATTAATGTGGGAAGAAATAACGCATATTTATTTCTGAAAAAAAATAATTTTTTGTTACGGGATTCTTGAATCAAGTTTTTTAAAATGCTGTTTATTAGCTCGTATACATTTTTTAACTTCTTGCAAGTAATATATATGAATGATTTTTGCAATTATATATATTAATATAGATATTTTTATATCTCTCAATATCTCTGAAGTTAAATCACACTAATATTTCAGTGGTGAGGTCACTTGTTTCGGTTCACGGACAATAACGATCCAATAGCGAATTGTAATAGTGACAATGCGACCAATCGATGATTGTGGGTGAATAGTCACGCACATTTAATTATCATAGCTTCAAGGGATTCATATATATATGAACCATATATCATTAATATGAATAACTTGTACTGATTGCAATACTGACATTGTGTCCAATCAATGACATCTGATGTTTTTGGATGAATATTTATGGGTATTTAATTATGATACTTTAGAAAAGCATAATCATTGATACCTGCAAAAATTACAGATCTAAATTATAAAAATATATAAAATATATTTTATGCTTATAAAAGTTAAAGGTTGTCGAATTTTTAATTAATTTGAGATCAACATTTTCTTAAATCAAAAGGTTGAAAGTTTTTGAATTGTGAATTTTAAAGAACATGTGTTTATGAAAGCAGGACATTCCTATTTTTCGTATGTGAAAAAAAATTGTTAAAGAAGCAAGTTTTTCATATTTTTATATATGTATATCATTTATGATAGTAATTTCTCAATATTTTAAAAAGAATTTTTCTGCAGAAGTGCAAGTAATTCTTTAATATTGCAAGATTTTGTAAAGAATTAAATGGTGCGAACGGTTATAGCAACAGCGAATAGCGAGTCTGTAATTAAATTCACAACACATCTAAGAAGCAAAATGCAAGTCTATCTTTTTAAATACACACCGCGACATAATTATATAATGTCGCAAACAATGAGCCCCGTTGCCTGTTGATAATTACCAAAGTAATGACTATGCTGTTGAGTGCAGAACGCTGTACCTGCGAAAATCAAGCTAATCCTTTATCGTGGCTCAGCAACCATCCATCACCGACTATGACAGACGGTACTTAATCACGCAATGTCGAATAAAAACTCCCTTCGTTCTATATTCTTTTTACTTGCGACGTTACAAAAATTGTAATTGGAATTACAAGTAGCGGCCACTACGCACATTTTTATTTACAGTCAAATGATTTCTACATGAAATATTTCAATATTTATGTTTGTTTCTGAGATAATCTTTATCGCAGTCATGTCTGATCACGAGTCGAAACGAGAAGAGTAATAAATTAACAATTAAATATGTGTACGATTATATATATACGCGCGTTTTATATGTTTGAAAAATTTATCTGTCTAATATAAAATTCTTTAGCATAAATGTGTGTGTGTGTGTGTTCAATTCTAAAGGATATATATGATATACTGTTACAACTTTTATAATGCCGTGGGAAATCAATGGGTGTGTGGGATGTCCAAATCTCTTCCTCCCATTGCACTGCATTTTCTCGTCGATTACTTCGTACGTCTTTCTCGGTGTAGTTGGACGACTAAACTGAAATATTACGAGAAAATTGAATCGCACAGCATGAAATTTCCTTGGAATTATTGTGTTCAGATTTTACGCAACTTGTGAAAAGCTGCTTTTTTATTCCGGTCGAATGCGTGTCTATTTTCTCTGGATGAAGGAACATTTTTATTTTATTTATTTACACGAATAAGTTATTAAGTCTGAAGATGTGATATTGTTTCAAAATTGAGCATATATTTTTTTGTTAATACTACGCCGTTGTTTTTGTTAGAGTTTTGTTTCTGTGAAATAAAATCGTTCGAGGGAGCTTATTTGACTTGCATAAACATCAATTTCTTGAAAACGAAAGAAGATATCCCCGCGAGTCATTTCGTTATGCAAATGTAAATTAGTTTCTGTTTCTGGATTCTTTCAGTTGTCAGTCATGCTTCTGGCAACGTTGCTATAATCGTTAACGTTGTACAACTACGCTGTACAACTAATTGTGAGTCAATCGTAGCAATTATACAAAACATCTAACAATTAGCGCACTTTTATTCAACTACAATTCTCTGACAAAACAATTTTGAAAACAGTCTTACACTTTTGATTAGTAAGAATAATCTATTAATATTTAAGCTAAAAATTTGCTTAAAATCCATTTGAAATTTTATCACTTCATCAAGTGTGAGATATGTTTGTATTAGATTTTTTTTAAATTTATTTATATTGAAGTGTGAATATTCAAAAAACTTGTTAAAGCGTGATTTTTAAACGGTCAATTTTTTTGTTTAGATTTTTTGGTGTCAAAACAAAAAGCTACAATAATTTTAAAATATTTGACAAGCGATTGGATTTAGATTTTTATATAAAATTTAACGATAAATCGAAATCTTGTCGAAGTGTTCTGTGGATGCTGAGTATCACGAAGAATAAAATTTGCAAGCGATTATGTGCGTCGGGTACACCTGCGGGCTCCGTGTCCTGGTTCATTGAACTTCGCAAAGATGGTGGAGGAGATAATCGAAGGTTCAGAATAAGTAAGAAAAAAAAAGAAGTTTGGAAAGGGCAGAGGGAGGAGCGGAAGTCGTAGTGGACTGTGCCGTTTTACATATTTTAACGGTTCTTCGCGTACCTCCGGCCCCCGCAAAGTTTGTCTCCCCTTTTTTCATTTTGCCCTTTCTTCTCTTCTTTCTCTTCTGCGACCCAACGTGGCTGTCTGTCGATTTTGCAAGATATACAATATAAATAGACGCTTCGCAAATCAATGTTTTATCAGATTTGTCAAAAAATCTTCTCTTAAAGAGAGAAGTGTTGAAATATCATTGTCGATATAACGACTGATAACAATGCACGATTGTATTGGTTAACAACGCAGTTTCATTCGAACAATAAAACCGGACGGACAATAAATGTGGGCGAAATGATAAACCATTTATATAAAACTCACGCTTGTTAAACATTAAAATAATAGATCATTATTTGGCTTGCATGAAACTCTTGTTGAAAACGTTTCTATTATTGCATCGTATCGGTCAATGTTAATCGCTTTTTAACTGCGCATCAATGCAGCCACGAAATTCCGCGGTGAATAATTCTGCGATTCTATTTCACTCGTGAACAGATCGTACAAATATTCCGCGGCTAGCCGCTTGGCCGGACGTATTGCATAGCACGCGAGGTGTGCCACGAGAGCACGTTTTTACGGATCACGCGACACGCGGACTCAGATTTCGCACATACCACGCAACTTGGCAATGGCAACTTGTTCAGTTGTCCTTGAAATGGGTTAAATATCTTATTGTTCCGTTATAAAAAAATTTGGTAATTTTCAAATTTTTAATATAATAGATCAATCTTTAGTTTATCCATCTCTGTCACAGATTGCGAGTCCATTTTGATGTTTATTTCCGCGAGTTTTATTTTTAATTGCATAAAGAAATAAAATTTTGTAATTTTTTGTCATATTTATGAGAAATATTGAACTCAAATTAGAAACTATTTGAGTATTTTTAATTATAATTTATTGTATATATTTTAATATAATATTGTGCTGAAAATTTGAAAAAAAAACACGTTCTCTAATTGACTCTTATTTCACAACTAATAATCTGTAATTTTAGTATATTTTGCGGTATTTTTTGACATTTCTCATTTAGTTTTTATTGTTCTCATATTAGAGTAATGTTATATGCCAATTGGCGTCGTCTATCAAATGAGTAATCGTGATAAAAATAGTAATATTCTGTTATTACGTCATACAAAATATGATGTATATATACATCTTTATTACATTAAATTTTTTATTTGTCATACTTTTCTCAATTATTTATTGGTTCAATTAATTCAATGTGTCTAATTGATAAAAATTCTCTCTTTAAGCTTGGTTTAATTGGAACTAATTTAGATTACTACATGTTTCCACGAAATTGATTCTTTTGTGCTTGTAACATGAGACTTTTGCAAATATGTCTTTAATCCATTTTATAAATAAGCATATATCACGAACGTTTCGTAAGTAATGCGAACATATCAGCCCAAGATGCTGAGATTGACATTTGTATGTTGGAAGAAGCTCAGCGTCGATATTTGTAAACACATTTTAAAATCATACACGTAGAGAATATATTGAGTTTCTGTAACGCGTAACTCTCTG